CGTTTTTCTTGTTGGTTTGTCATTTGTGTGACTTAAGTAAACGAATGCAAAAATCACTGAGAGAGAATGCTCTACAGGAAAGAAAGATCATACTTCCACCATGCGATTTCTCGATGTGGTGATAATTTTTAGTCTGGGTTAGGTTAAATAACTCTTTGCTATATTATAACTGAGGCAAAGTGGTAGACAGAGACAGGAGTGATAGCATATATTTTTATTGATTTCTAGAGAACAAATGAAAAAAGGCAATAGACAAGAATTTTTTTCAATCTCAAGCATGACCCAATGTCTTTGAATTAAGAACTCTTTTCTTCTTTATAAAGTACATTTCCAGGGTAACTACACTCCTTGTCAAACTAGGAGTTGCTCCCCCTTTTCAGTGAGTTCATGATCACGTCTTTCTACGTATGCTAACAACAATTTTTAAAAATCAGACCTTTTGGAAACTTTGCAAGTAACAGTTATGAGTTAATTCAAGCATTCCTTAAAACCTTTTCTCCTATCAGTGTCTAAGTCTTGCAGGGGTAATTTGCAGCATTAAGGGTTCCAAACAATAAGTATAATCTTAATGCATAAGCGTACAAAGTCAATGACAGTCGGCTATTGGAAATCTGAATAAAGCAAGAGCATTAGACTGCTGGAGAGAATAAGTGGGACAGCCTTCGTCCCAGATATGGCTGAATCGTTTTTTTATGACGTCGTCCAAGCCTATAGAATGTTCTGCACCTGTGAGTCCTTATGCCAAAATTGGTCGTTTAAATCCGAGGATGGGAATGGGAGAGAAAGTTACAAACAACTCGGTAGCAAACAACACCGCGGCTGCACACAGAACAGACCCAAGTGATCTCTCTCCGTTTCCCATTTCTCCTAACCACTCCCAGAACTTTGCAAACATCTTCCTCTAAAATTCATTCCTTTCCCATCAAACCTAAATTGTTTTTGCTACGTCATCACATTTTGGGCATTTCAGACAGAGGCCAGGAATGATGAAGAACTTCAGCTTAAGAAAATGTATGTGTTTGGTGAGATCTTTTTGGAGAAATATGCTTAGAGAAATGGCATTTTCCTATGGATTTTACAGTGCAGTGATTCCCTTACAAGGGAAAGCCATAGAAAATGCAGGGGTTTCAGTAATCAGGTCAACTGTTTGAGGCAGACTTCTCCATACAATCCATAAGATTATAAAGAACGCAGAGGGGAGTAAGACTAAAGCCGACCCAAGTTCCATGCAAGAGTTGACGAGAAATGAATAAATACTTTGGGCTGCTTATTTTCTTACTCCTTATGAGAAAAAAAGGCTGCTGATGGAAAGCATTGTTTAATGGCACTCTATAGGCTAAAATACAAAGCTTTCCAGCTCTAGAAAAGAGCTGAGGCTAAAGCAAGCAAGCAATCTGCATCATTAGCGGGAAGGGATGGGCATGGCGCACAGGTCCCTGTGAAAGGAAATGCTGTTGACCTACATGGACAGATTTTCATGGTGGTAAAGCCTCAGCCTCCCAGTGACTATGGGCAGGTCTCTTAACCTCTTTGAGCTTCCCCACCCCATCTGTAAAATGGGGAGAACAGTATCTCATGCTGTTATGGTAATGGATAATTTATGAGTCACACAATGCGTAGTCCAGCAATCAAATATATGTAAATATTTTCCTTACTAAAAAATAAATAAATAAATAGCAGCCAGGCAAGGTGGCTCATGCCTGTAATCCCAGAACTATGGGAGGCTGAGGCAGGTCATCCCTTGAGCCAATGAGTTCAAGACCACTCTGAGCAACATGGTAAAACCCTGTCTCTACAAAAAAATAGAAAGAGTAACCGGGTGTGGTGGTAAGTGTCTGTAGTCCAGGCCTCTTGGGAGGCTGAAGTGGGAGGATCAGCTGAGCCTGGGGAAGTTGAGACTGCAGTGAGCCCTGATTGTCCCACTGCACTCCAGCCTGGGCGACCCTGTCTCAAAAAAATTAAAAAGGAATATATATATTTGTGTGTGTGTGTGTGTGTGTGTGTGTGTGTGTGTGTGTGTGTACATATATACATTCTTATGAGGTTTCTAAGCAATTGCAACTGGCTGAAGCAGAAAAACATGGTGTTTTATGATGCATCTAAAAAACCCAGTTGAAAACAGAGGGTAATGGTTGTGGCTGAATGAGCTACCCGATCAGTAAACCTCAGGCTGGTGTTGCATCCCCCAGTGAGGCTTAATTCACCTAACGTCAGGTCTGGATGTCAATCTCCCTCATCTTACAGATGAGGAAGCTGAGGTTCAAATTAACATAACATGGGGTTAAAACTCAGGCATCCAGATCACCAGTTTAGTAACATTCTTCCCCTTCAGCACATTCATTCTAAAGGAAATGCTGTAATTGCTGCAATGCTGTAACCTGGTTTATCTTTTGACACAGATTCTTGTTTCATTCTTATGAAATGGGGCATTTGTGTGGGTTCAGTGAGTTTTCTGAACTGACATTAGTGAAGTACTTTTTGCCTTGTAGGCATGTTTATGAATCTATGTATTAAGATCTACTTTTAGAAATTAATTACCAAGGCTACCTTTCTTCCAGTTAAATGCCTAGGTAGTGGTTATTGTTGTTTTGTTACTTATGAAGTCAAATAAGCAGAAAAAAAAAACCTATTTGTTATTTTATATCTTTTGAAATATAACATCAAAAATACATCTTTCAGCTGGGTGCGGCGGCTCATACCTCTAATCCCAGTACTTTGGGAGGCCAAGGCAGGTGGATCAGGAGGTCAGGAGTTCAAGACCAGCCTGGCCAAGATGGTGAAACCCAATCTCTACTAAATATACAAAAATTAGCCAGGCTAATTACAGGTGGTAGTGTGCACCTGTAACCCCAGCTACTTGGGAGGCTGAGGCAGAAAACTGCTTGAACCCAGGAGGCTGCAGTGAGCTGAGATCACACCACCGCACTCCAGCCTGGGCAAAGAGCAAGACTGTCTCAAAAAAAAAAAATACATTTTTCACATTAAAAAAATCTATTGATTTGAGAAAATTGTACATAAACCATGGCTCCAGGAAGAAATGAATGGTGGGCAGAAAAGCCAATTACAACAGATGGGAGGAGAAGCATACTTTACACAGCTTTTCCAGAATTCCCTAAGGCCCCCCAGAAACCTCTAGAAGATATTTGTTTTCTTTACCTTCTGGGAAGGCTGCCAGAATCCCTTCATCCAGAGCACCCATTCAACATAAAGTACCAGAGAGGCCAAGACAGCTGCCACTACCAGGCAGTGCTCAGGTTAGGATAGTAGCCACTCACGGCTTGGCCACATATTGCTTTGATTCAGCATTAGCGGCACCCCGGTGTGGTAAAGATTATCTTTCAGAGGAAGGGATCCAGAAAGAGAAGTGTAAAGCCTCCAAGATGAATTTCTTCATTTTACCCAGTACAAGCCCATGGCGGATCCATGCAAGAGCAACCATTCTCTAACTAAAAATGGATGCTCTAAGAACTATGTGAAAAGGAATGTAACATAGAGGTTGGACAAAAAAAAAAAAAAAAAAAAAAAGAGGCTGTGCAGTCAGGGGGCATGGTTTTGAATTTTATTTTAGCTGCTTATAAGCTGTATGAACTCAGTTCGGTTATTTAGTTTATTCACTTATTCCATTATTTAATTCTCCATCTAGAAGATGGAGGTAACAATATCTCCCTCATGAGGCTGAGAGTAAAAATTAAATAAGCGAACACATATAACACACACGTACAGTACTTATAACACAGTCAATGCGGTTCATAAGCGTTAGCTGCTGTCACTGGATATTCACAAGATCCTCTAGCGAATGTTCCCTAGTGTTCAAAGTGTGGACCTTGGACCAGAAGGAAGGACATCAACTTGTCTGCACGTCCATACAGCACTCCGATGATTCATGCACCCATGAAAGTTGGAGGAATGCTGGCTTAGAACACACCTCCAGACCTGTCCCTGGAGGCTTTGGCTGGGTGGCATTGAAATGAATGCTGAAGTCTTCAGCTGGGATCTCCCATATGCTAGCACACTACCCAGTAGAGGGGGCTGCCAGGCTGGTTATTTAATGAGTTTTATGATACATTAAATCTTCCAGACCTCACGGCAATTTGACCATTAAAGAAATAACTTTTTTTAAGGTAGACCAAAACAAGCCAACTCAAGCGAATAATGGGATTAGTGCGGTGATATTGAAATCAGAGTCAGACCACGTGAGTCACTCTCCATCAATCACGGCTGCTGTCCTCACAGCTGATTGTGGCACATTGTTTCATCAAATTAAACACCAAAGGGATGTTGTAAAGGCAGCATATGGTCCTCTTTCAAAAGTAGTTAGGCTGGCATTGCACAAGTGGCCTCATGGTGGCTCCCCTGAAAACTTCTAAATCAACATATTGAGGGTATTTGCTTTTGCCGAACAATGACTCATAAAAGTGGTTGCTTTTAATTGCAGGCTTGCTGCCGTTGTAGTCGGAAGCAAGGCCAGGATGTGGGATGGGAAGGAAAGTAGATGGACTCATGATGAGAGGAAAGAAATTAACTGCCATCTTTTCCTGTTCTCCCATCCCAGAGGCAGTGATAACAAAGGAGAGATGCCTCCCACCTGGATGGATGCTGAGCTCTTAGAAATTGACTTTCCGGTGGATACAGAGACCTATAGTCCCAGAATTTTGGGAGGCCACGGTGGAAGAATTGCTAGAGGCCAGGAGTTTGAGGCTGCAATGAGCTTAAGACTAGCCTGGGCAACATAGCGAGACCCTGTCTCTATAAAAATAATTTTAATAAAACGTTTGCTGGGTATACAGGCATGTACCTGTAGTCCTAGCTACTTGGAAGGCTGATATGAGAGGCTGAGTTCAGGAGTTCAAGATTGCACTACTTCAGCCTGGGTGACAAAGCAAGACCCTGACTCAAAAAAAAGGCGAGAGAGAAAAGAAAAGAAAGGAATAGACTTTTCTCCCTCTCTATCAGGTAAAAGCAGACTGGGATGGTTTTAGAATCAAGGCAAGAATAATGACATGTGGCTAGAAGACCTGCTGAAGGGGAGAGGAGGTTTTCAGGAGAGGCGGAGGACAGAGCTTCGTAGAGGAGCCAGTGAAGGGCAGCTGCGTCAGCCTCTGGTGGCTCCGGTAGAACCCTCGTCATTTATGATGCATCAGTTAGATGACACTGGAAGGTGAGGTGAGCCCAAGTCTGACTTTCAAGAGAAAGTCATTAGGCAATATTAGGAGTGATGTCTGGTTGCTATTTTGCACGTATGTGGCTGACCCTTCCACCATGAATGTGATGGATTAGCCAACGTGCTATTAATGAATAGCAAACCTCCCAGCGCCCCAGTGAGCTCAGCATGGAAGGAATAATGTCACAGGTAGCAGGTCACCTGCGCCATATTCCGTCTTCCAACTGCAACTCTTATCCCACCCTCCCCTCAAAGCGCCCTCAAAATAAGAGGGCTTGACCAGCCATGGTGCAGAGGTGGAGATTGCCACGAGTCACCTCCCACCTTCTGGTTCGTATGCGACCCTTCGTCATTTCTAACCACACAGTTGCTGCCACTCCTAGGGAGCAGCCCTAAGTCCATAGCCCCCTCCTATCTCTGCTTATAGGTAAACACAATTAAGAGAGGTAAGGGGACATTTGAATTACAGCCTGAATAAAGATATTATTATTGGCTGGGTGCAGTGGCTCATGCCTGTAATCCCAGCATTTTGGGAGGCCAAGGCAAAAGGATCACTTGAGCTCAGGAGTTCAAGATCACCCTGGGCAACATGGTGAAACCCAGTCTCTACTAAAATAAATTTTTAAAAATCAGCTGGGCATGGTGGCAGGTGCCTGTAATCCCAGCTACTTGAGAGGCTGAGGCACGAGAATTGCTTGAACTCAGGAGGCAGAGGTTGCAGTGAGCTGAGATGGCGCCACTGCAATCCAGCCTGGGCAACAGAGCAAGGCTCTGTCTCAAAAATAAAAATTAAAATTAAAATTACATAAAAGATATTACTATCATTATTCAACAGCAAGATGTGACTTTCATTTTTCAAAATCTACGGAAGGGGATAAAAATAAAAGTGAAAGTCTCATCAGTTGACCCCATTACCAACCTTCCCCTTCTGTCCAAGAGTAGTCACTGGTGCTGACATGTTTTCTTCCCTGAGGGGGATCTTAGATGGTGCCTGCTCAGCTTCCCACTGGATACAGGAATCTCCTCAACAGCACTGATAATGGCCGGGCGCAGTGGCTCTCACCACTTTGGGAAGCCAGTGTGTGAGGATCATAAGGTCAAGAGATCGAGACCATCCTGGCCCACATGGTGAAGTCCCATCTCTACTAAAAATACAAAAATTAGCTGGGCGTGGTGGCACGTACCTGTAGTCCCAGCTACTTGGGAGACTGAGGCAGGAGAATCGCTTGAACACGGGAGGCGGAGGTTGTGGGAGCCGAGGTGAAGCCACTGCACTCCAGCCTGGGGAGAGAGCGAGACTCTGTCTCAAAACAAACAAACAGAAAACCAGCACTGAGAATGAACCAAGATGCCTTTGTAAAGTCATGCTGATGATAATACTTCACAAATAGCACAGCCTTTTACCTTGAGAGTGGGGAGATACTGGTTTTCACCCTAATTTATTAAACTCTGGTAGGATAATACAGTATCATAGGGGTGCTATTTTACCCTTCATGACATAGACATGGGCTCTACCACGTAGAGGCCTCAGAAAACTTCCAGTGATGGTGGATGGTGGAAGGTAGGCACATTAATGGCTGGAGTAGGAACAGGAGACAGAGGGGGAAGGTGCTGTCCAAGTCTTTTTTTTTTTTTTGAGACAGAGTTTCACTCTTGTATCCCAGGACGGAGTGCAATGGTGTGATCTTGGCTCACTGCAACCTCCACCTCCCAGGTTCAAGCGATTCTCCTGCCTCAGCCTCCCAAATAGCTAGGATTATAAGCGCTCACCACCACAGTCAGCTAACTTTTTTTGTATTTTTAACAGAGGGTCTCACCATATTGGCCAGGCTGGACTCAAACTCCTGACCTCAAGTGATCTATCCGCCTCGGCCTCCCAAACTGCTGGGATTACAGGAGTGAGCCACCATGCCCGGCCAGTGCTATGCACTTTTAAACAAGCAGATCTCACCAGAACTCACTATCCTGAAGACAGCATCGAAGGGGTGGTGTTAAACCACTTATGAGAATTCATGAGCACCCATGAGCCAATCACCTCCCACCAGGCCACACCTCCAACATCGGGCACCTCCTTCCTACCAGCAATACATCACTAGGTAGCCAGGACAATTCAACCCACGAGTAGAAACAGAAGTGACCTCAAAATTTCAAGTTATTTTTCTTAACCAAACAAAAACTTTAAAACTTCAAATAGAAGAAGTCATGTCAACAATTGCTAAGGTCATTATCTGCTGAAGAGATTATTAGTAAAAGGAAGATTTTGTAAGAAATGGAACTCATCTACTGGTCTGATTAAGAAAATTCACCATGGAAAGACTTCACCAGAGAAGTGAGAGAAGTATTTCATTCCTGCTTGAATAACAGGGCCATTTTAATGGAAAACATGTGTGCCACAGAGTGGAGAGTGAGTTCATCCAAGACAAGACTTAGATCATGTCCTTAGCTGTGGCAGGACCAGGTGGCTCCTGGCATAGGATTCATGGGGGTTGGCGACTGTATTAGTCTGCGCTCACATTGCTATAAAGAAATACCTGATCTGCAGCCAGTTAAGCTGACCAAGTTTCTTTCCCCATGGGGGCCCAGTGTGCAGTGGCTGCAAACAGCAGCTTCCCTGGTAGTGTAGGCAGCCTGTTTTTTGTATGGGTTGCGCTAAGGGACCTTGGAGACCAGCCTTTCACATATATGTTCATGTCTCTGACCTTGCACTGCCCCAATGTAGGCTCCGAACAAGTATGCGAGTTGCCTTTGGAAGGCCCCAGGGCACCGTGGCCATCATGTCCATCTGCACCAAGCTGCAGAACAAGGAGCACATGATTGAGGCCCTGCGCAGGGCCAAGTTCAAGTTCCCTGGCCACCAGAAGGTTCACATCTCAAAGAAGTGGGGCTTCACCGAGTTCAATGCTGATGACTTTGAAGACATGGTGGCTGAGAAGTGGCTCATCCCAGATGGCTCTGGGGTTACGTACATCCCCAGGTGTGGCCCTCTGGAAAAATGGCGGGCCCTACACTCATGAGGGCTTCCACGGTGCTGCCCCCTCTTAATACTCACCAATAAATCCTACTTCCTATCAAAAAAAAAAAAAGAGCTTTGATTGGCTCACAGTTCTGCATGCTGTACAGGAAACATGATGCTGGCATCTGCTCAGTTTCTGCAGAGGCCTCAGAAAGCTTCCAATGATGGTGGGTGGTGGAAAGCAGGTGGATCACACGGCTGGAGTAGGAACAAGAGAGGGGGAAGGTGCTGCACACGTTTAAACAACCAGATCCCACTAGAACTCACTCACTATCCTGAGGACAGCATCCTGGGGCTGGTGCTAAACCATTTATGAGAATTCATGAGCACCCATGATCCAATCATGTCCCACCAGGCCACACCTCCAGCAGTGGGGATTACAATTTGACAAGAGACTGGGCGTGGACACAGCTTCAAACCATATCAGTGATCGTGTACGATCTTAACCACTCAGCTAAAATAATGGCTACCATGTAACCAATGTAAATGACCTTAATAAACTCGTAACCCAGCGTTTGGGCCACCTTGGGGTCTGCTGTAGCTGAGCCTAGCAACCAACCAGCCTGCTGGGGGAAGGCGGGACTCAAAACACACACCTGTGGTGAGTTATGTTTTGGTATCAATTTAAAACCCAAACACTGATGCAATTTGGTCCTCTTTAGAGCTGGGCTTCATCAGGCACTCTCCCCGTTAATTAGCTGAGATGTAAGATGTTGCTAATAGCTACCCATCTTGTAAACATGTTGAGCAGGCCCTGCCCCTGAAGAGCCCACACTGTTAAGTGATATCTCAGCTGGGGCTGGCAGAGCCCGTCTTCCCACCAGGGAGCGGTCACAAGTTGTGCAGCCTCCGCTCAGCATCAAAACATCATGCTCTGAGAGCTTCTCATTTGGTTGTTGTTCCCCTAGAGGTGACTGCCTTTTGGTAGTAATGATAGTAATGATGAGAAGGAGGCTAAAAAATGAAGAGGCGGAGGAGGAGTGGGAGAAGGAACTCGCCTTTACATTCACTAGAGAGACTAGAGGTGGTGAGATTGCGGACATTCTGCTTTCTCCCCAAAGTAAGCAGAGACATCAAGCGTTGCAGAGAAGAACATCTCTGTGAGCGTTCCGTAGTCTGCTGAGACGGCTGATTGGCTGCTCTCTGGCTAGCTACCAAAACTAAAACCATAGCAATGGATGATTGAAAACAGTTTCGCAAAACAGCACTCAGATAGGAAACTGCAAAGGCAGAAGAAGGAATGAACGAGGAGGTGGAGGGGCCACATGGCTGCAGCTGTGTCCGCTAACTTGATGTTTGAATTCTTTTGCAGGATTATGTCCAGTCTTAGGTATTCAGAGGTATATCAGGGAAGCTGACGGTATAAACCAAATGCAGAAGGATTCTGGAGTTAGGGTGAGCAACCATCCTAGTTTTCCCTGACTCTCCCAGTTTTAGTACTGAAAGTCCCTGTCCAGGGAAACCCAAGTCCCAGGTAAGCCAAGATGGTTGGCAACCCTGCCTAGAGTCATAGAAGTGCATGGTTGAAACATACCCTGGACCCTCATCCAACAGCTTCATCTTTGGCCCAGGGAGGTCAAAGAGGCAGTGCAGCACCGCGCTCAATGTCTTCTGAATAAATCATGAATAAATCTATTGTCTTGTGAGTAAAATCGCCAGAGATCATTAAATGTAAACATGGTGCAGGATAGGGACTGGCCCCAGAGTGAGGTGATGTGGGATCTAATCCTGGCTCTGCCACTAAATGGGGAACTTGGGTAGGGGAGCTCCCACCTGCCAAGTGCTATACACCGATTATTTCATTAATCTGAATGATACTCCTGTTTAACAGATGGAAGAATGGGCTCAGAGAAATCAAGTAACTAGCCCAATATCATGGTAAGAACTAGGATTCAAAGGTCAGTCACTCTGACACCTAACAGTATGTTGTTCCCAAAATAGCTTTATGCTCGTACAAAGCTGATGGCAAATCAGCTTCTTGCTGCTCCCACGGAGGACTCATCAGATGGAAATGGCAATTGGAAGAGATAATTTTTTCCCATTTGTGCAATGCAATTAAGGACATAATAAAGTCATCACAAAATGCCCAAATGATTGACAATTGAGAGACTAGCACCAAGTCTACTTCCAGGAAGGATTTAGATTAGCTGGTACATGTATTGACCTGAGCTCTCTTCTTTTTTCTATAACAAACTCAGCATCGGATTGGCTTTATATTTAAAGTCACCAGTTTCTTATCTCCACCATATCAGAATATAAACTGTTATGAGGGCAAGAATTTGGTTCGATGCCATAACCCCAGGGCACTTATGCTTGCCACATAGTGAGTTTGCCATACATACCTGTTGGATGGAAAAATGAATGAACAAATGAAAGAAATTCAAAATTCAACATAGGAATGTTAAGTAATTTTATTATACACACACGCACACACACACACGATAATTTATTTAAAAGTTGATTGAGAACTCAATACAGGAAGTAGAAATAAGGGAAGTAAAATGTATCTGCCATAAAAATTTTAAACAAAAATGTACTGGATGGATAAGCTAGATGGATCAAATTGTTCCATATATTTTAAGTTTTTATAAATTAGATGCTTTGTTAGACCAATGGTTAGTAGAAGGTTCCTGTGACGAAATAAAGAATCCTTTTAGCAAGATAGTAATGATCATAAACTCATTTTTCTAAAACAGTTGAGGGTTTATGTTGGATTGCTTCCAGTGAAGGATTCTTTCACGGTAAACTTGAGTCTCACTTTCCTTTGTTTATGTGGTGACAGACATATAGGAAGCAAACAGCTGATTGCTTTTCTCTTTTTTTTTTTTTTTTTTTTTTTTTTTGAGGCAGGGTATCACTCTGTTACCCAGGCTGGAGTGCAGTGGCACAATCATGACTCACTGTAGACTTGACCTCCCAGGCCTCAGGTTATCCTCCCATCTCAGGCCCCCAAGTAGCTGGGACTACAGGTGCACCACCACACCCTGCTGATTTTTGTATTTTTTCATAGAGGTGGGGTTTTGTCATGTTGCTCAGGCTGGTCTTGAACTCAGCATATTTGTTATAAACAGAATTCTTCTGATATTAAGGATAATATTTGTGAGCCTGCAGTCCTAGGGGTTTGGGGTTTATGGGTGAAGTTTTATATCACTTAGATGCTCTATGGTCCTTAAACTAGCTAGCACTTGAAAATGGTACTATCATGCATATCTTCAAATATGTGTATTTGACAGTGGACAATAAAAAAGAATAAATCACACAGCTTCAAAACTAATGTCAAATACAGCTTCGGACTTTAAAACACATTTTAGAGGAAAAAATTAACTCTTATACTGAATTAATCATAATAAAGCAACTTCTTAGGTTTGACAGCAGATCAAAAGTAAGCTTAAAAGTAATATATGGTGTTTAACATTTATGTATAAATTTAGTGGTCTGAGAAATAACTTTCCAATTGTACTGCCACTCTGTATTAGATGTGATATTAAGATAATGATGGAATATGTTCTTTTTATGGATACAAGAGGTCTATTACCATAAAGAATCAATTAAATCTGTGACTATATCAAGAAAAACAGTGCACAAAATACTAATGCTACAAGAAAACGTGTCTCAGCCGGGTTAACAGATGGGTGAAGCGTGAAGCCAGATAAACTCTGCTTCTTTTGGCTTAGTCTTTATCTCTCCCTAGAACTATGACTAATCCTCTTTATTTGAACAGCTTCAAAGACTCTAATTTGACACACATGGCATGCATACAACAGACACACTTTTAGTTCCTGCCAGCAGGTAATTAGAAGCAACAAAAAGGTATGTCTTGATGAAGAATTGCCTCACTGCCCAAGCCACCACTTCAGCTGATCCAACAGAAATTCATCCTGTTACAGACCACTGCTCAGAGGCAGAGGAGGTCTGGTTTGCAGAATATAAAAATAGCACCCAGCCAATCAGACTTGAAATTGATCAATTTCATCCCATTATACTTGTGTATGGAAAAAGCCTGTTAATATTTGTATAACTAACTTTGTAACCGGGTACTTTACTTAGTGATATTGTTTCCAACAGCTTTTCAATTGATTTTTATGGATTTTAGAGGTAGATAATTATATAATCTGCAAATAATTTTCTCCCCATATTTACAGCTTTTTTTCCTCTTATCTGATTGCATTGGCTAGTACTCCTACAACAGTATTAAAAAATAGTTTCCCTGGTGATCAATATTATCTTTAGTAATGGAAAAAATGGTTTTAGCATTTGGACATTTAGCATCATGATGCTCTTTCAATTAATATGTGCAGACGTGTTTACGTGTTAATTTATTGTGTCCAGAATCTGTTGCTAATTGAAACTTTTAAAGTGAAGAAATAATTGTAAACTTTTGACAAAAAAGCTCTTTGGGCCACAAAAATGTAATTATGGGTTTTTTCTTCCATTATCTATTAATATAGTAAATTATGATAATACATTTCATAATAGCAAGCCATCCTTGCATTCCTATGATTTTTGCATTTTAATAAACTTCTAAATTCTATGTGCTAGTATTTTCTTTTAGAACTGTACTTAAGGACATACAGTATAAAGAAATAATCAGGGCTGGCTGGGGTGGCTCACACCTGTAATCCCAGCACTTTGGGAGGCCAAGGCAGGCGAATTGCCTGAGCTTGAGTTTGAGACCAGCCTGGGCAACATGGTGAAACCCCATCTCCACTAAAATACAAAGAATTAGCCCAGCGTGGTGGCATGCACCTGTAGTCCCAGCTACTTGGGAGGCTGAGGCAGGAGAATTGCTTGAACCCAGGAGGCAGAGGTTGCAGAGAGCCAAGATCGCACCACTGTACTCCAGACTGGGCGACAGAATAAGATTCTGTCTCAAAAATAAAATAAAATAATCAGAATTCTCCCTGTCTATACTGGCATTTCCATATTCTTTGGCTCTGTAGGAAAGTTGGCGATGCTAATACACCTCTAGGATTTATTTGCTGTAAGCAAGTAAAAATTATCATAGTAGCTCACACTTCTTATAGCATGTATTGTATAACAGATGACGATCCAAGAGCTTGCTGCATTATG